AGTAAAAATTTGGTAATGTAAAATTTTGCTCGACAATTTTTTTTTATAATTTTCGCTGTCGGGTAGAAAGAAATTTAAATAAAGTTAACAACAATTAGGTCTGACCATCGCGGGTGAAGTGAGTGGGCAGAGTGTGGATTGTCTTTGCGGGTTTTAAGAATGGTACGCGCGGAAACTATACGTACAAGTGTTATCTACATATGTGTGCGCGCCCACGCACACTGGAATGTTTATTGCAATTGACCAAAAATTTGATGTAGTTTGGATATTGACATTCAGTTTTTTTTCCGTGTTTCTTAAATATAATCAGTATCAGTAAAAGGTAAAAGTAAAAGTGTTATTTTTACCGGTACAAGTTTAACAAACATGAGTAATAAACAAATTACATGCCAAGAACATCGCAACATTTTTGTTTGAAATAGAAAAGTACTTTAACGGTCAAACTCATTAGTCCAAGGCAATATCAAAAAGTACCTAATAACTACGGCGATAGAGTTTAATTACATGTGCTTCGATATTAAAATTAAAAAGTTTAAATATCAAAAAAAAAAATAGTGGCTTGGGATTTGAACCGCCGACCTTACGTACCAACGGCGGCGAACGGTAAGGCCACGAGACCAAACTAGCATATATGATGACAAACTTACATTTGATGTTCGTTTTATCTACCTAATATCTGTCATCCGCGTCGAACACTTTTAGTAAATTTTGAAAAATGGTTTGATGCAAAGTGTCAAATGAATTTAACAGAAGTAGTTTATTCCTAATTGTATCACAAGTATATAGAGATAGAGTTCAATTTTGTCAAATGTACCGATATTTTTGCGCACCTTGACTGCTTCGTTACTTATGACGCTGTGGCTGCTACGATATTTATGAGCATCTTGCATGTACTCATATATTTGACGCTGTGTATGTACCGATGTATTTGAGCAGGGTGAATGTATCTATTATTTTGAAGACTTTTGTTGTACCGATATAATTGATTACTTTTGATGTACCTATATATTTGCATATCTTGTCTGTGACGATCTATATGACGCTGACTGTACAATCTAAATATCGCTCAATTCATAAATTATGTCATGGTTTCGAGTTTGCAAAAAACGATAGAATTGTTTTTTTTTTTATGTAAAATGTAATATCTTCATGACAACAGAACTTTATACATTGACTGTAGGGTGATATGAGAATATTTCTAAAATACAGGTGTAGTTACAGCCGCGATTTGACGGTATAAAGCAGTCTTTCCCAAAGTGGGCGATAACGCCCCCTTGTGGGCCCTGCAGGTCTCAAGTTGCGGGTTATAGTAAGGTCGCAATAATTTAATTTGAAGTTGGTTTTTCAATATGTGAAAATATGGGGGCGCTAAAAAAATATTTATTCTCAAAGTGGGCAGTAGACAAAATAAGTTTGGGAACCACTGGTATAAAGTTTCATTATATCAAATAAGAAAGTGTATGAGAGTAAAGGCAGCTAAATATGTACTGCGACCTGGCTCAACGCCATAGCTCAGGGTCAATGTCAGACGTAGATCGTCGGTGTTATGTCGATGCAGCTCCAAAGATATGTAGAGCATCCTGGTTGTTACACATTACAAGTTAGTGATGTGACATTCTTTTTGCACTTGTTATCGATATTTTTCCATTTCAAGTAAATATTAACTAATGAATCGATAAGGCTTAATATATAAAACTTACATTACATTTACGTAAACCTTAAATATTCCCATACAATCTTTGATTTCCCTTTTTTCATATTGTTTGAATGCAAAGGGAAACATTCATAATAGAAGGATGTTAGAATATAAAAGAATAAGCACGGTAATAATTCAGACGTAATATTGGTATTTGAGTTTTTTCCTTGAAATGTCCTAAAAAAAACGGGAATGAGATAACATAGAGATAAGATGAAGTAAAAAGGCGAAATATTAACCCTTATCTTAGTAATCATATTTTCTAACACATTACAATAAATTCTTGTGATTAGTTGACTCGACAAGGCATGCCACATCTCTAAAGCAGTTAACTATAAATACTGTTATGAATGAGTGCAGTGTTACGTGAGCGACGGATTAGAATAGCTCTTCGCCCTTCTTCCTCCTCGCAAAATAACCCACATATGCTACTAAAATGGGAATATTTTTTTTTACATGTGTCCTGGTAACGTTCAATTTATTTAAATGGTTTCGTAACACTTTATCTAGAAGCTTCGGTACAGTCATACAATTTATCTTTTAAATTGTCAAAACAACTATTTTCCTCGAATATTATTAAACATCTTATTTCGATACGCACTTATTACGACGCAGTTAGTCACATCTACATCGTAATGAACTCATATCGATATCGTGTCATAAATTAACTTCACTAAAAAAAAATGGGAAATTGTGCGACTAACTTGGGCGTTATAGCGTAAACAAATGACTGTAGTTTTATTATTCTTAACGTATAACCTTGAATTTATACGATAATTTTATTACATCCGATTGCTCATTTTGCTTGATTTCAATAATTTAGCCTACTGGATACGGTATTTGATTTTATTTTACCGTTTAATTAACATTATTTCTAAGCTTTGATAAACCAGTGCGTATTAGATTACTAGTAGAAGTTTAATTGTAGTATTTTTTTCTAATAATGGAGTAATTTTCCAATTTGAACTTAACCGATCTTCCAAATTATCGTAAAGATTTTTGGCGACTTATTTCTTTTATCGTTTCGTTTATATTATTTATAACTTTACTGCTCCTAGTTATAATAACAAACATTTAAAGCTTGATACATTTTGTGGTGATAGCGCGTGAACGTAAATACGTCGTAATGTGGTGCCAAAGTCCACAATAACAAGTGGGCTAGTAATCATCACAGTAATTGTGTATGCGTCATCTTACTCTTACTATATATCTTACTAATATTATAAATGCGAATGTATATCTTACTAATATTTAGATGGATGGATGGATGTTTGAAGGTATCTCCGGAATGGTTCAACGGATCTTGATGAAATTTTGCACAGAATATAGTCTGAAAGAACACATAAGATACTTATTATTATTTTTTATTTTACGCGGACGAAGTCGCAGGCGACTGCTTTTAGGGATTATTAAGATGTTGAACAATATCGATTTGATAAGACGACTTTATAAAAACTGTTGCTACCCATTCATCTAGAAAACGTATCTGAAAATTCGATTCATGATATATTGGATAGGATTAGATAAATAAACTGAAGTAATATATTATTTAAGGTTATGTACGATAGCGTAGAATTATCCTTTATCCGTGTTACATTTTTTGATATTGACTGATAAGTGATAACTATTGTTTGCCATTAATTAATTAAAAAGTGTTAACCCTTAATTCGATGGTGTCCAGTGTGACGAATAACTAATTATAAAAAAATCTACTGAACTAGTTTAGAGGAAATTACGTAAGTATGACTTTATTACTTAAAAAAAAAACTTTTTTTCCTACAAAAAAAATCGAATTAAGGGTTAAACTAAAAAACAAAACACTGTTGTTCCTATAATGTGTAATTCTGAAATGATTCCGTAGTTTTCTGCAAGCTTCATAAAAATGCGGATATTAGCAGCTCATGTCTTAAATTATAATGGTCCTTGATTATTATATTATTTTTTTGTAAGATATTTATCATAATTAAAGATCTCATGATAACCAAACGATAGTGTA